GTATTCTTAACTCATGTCAAAATATAATATTGAATGATAACATGGATATGTAAACTCTTTAGACAACATATTATCATAGATACAAAACATTTTGTTAAATGATCCATAGAACATTATGCATCTTACAAATAAAAATCTCAGAAAATATTTTACGAAATTCCAACAGAATGAAAAAAAACTTCCTAGCCCTCTTTTGGTCTCTGTGTCTCTGTGTCTGGCAATGTCTGCTTTGCTTACAGGGAGAGAAAAGTGTTCCAATACCTGCATTGGTCCTTTGACAGTCGTGCATTGGCCAACATCCTACACACTGTCTTAAGGAATTATCAGGAAATTCTTGCATTGGCCGAATAAGAAAAGTCGTCACTGCATTGCAAGTTTATTCAATTTCCTGGTTCTATCAAAATACATTTTGTATTCTTTGAAAGCCGAGTTACCCTAGTCAATTACATTTAGCACAATATTGACTGCATGTGTGATTAAAATACAAAAAAAATCAGAACGAGAAAAAATGTTAGAAATTGAATGGACAGAACGTTATTATTTCTGTGAACACTTATATGATATGATTTTGGAAATAAGTGAAAAAATCTTGGTTGACGGCATTCCACATCAATCACATATGATCAACGTTACTTTTCTATGTGACATACTTTGAACACATTTACTACAAATCAACATTAAAGTTTACATTTTCATCTTTCTAATCTTTTTATTGGTATTTAAAAAGAAAACGTACTTTGAATACAATTTATTTTTCAATGGCTTATTTAAATATTTCTTAGGTATATGCAAGTTTTTTTTCCAGGGGGTAAAACTTTATAGCACGTTAGAAAAAGAAACCACCACCCCACCCCCTTTTCTAATGATATTACATTTCATAAATTGTTTGGAGATTTCATATAAAATTTACTATGAAATTTCATAGACTTACAAAATGGTGCTGAAATTGCAATTTTTAAGGCTATTATTGTATAAACGCATAAGGTAACTATCGGCACTTTTAAATGACAGGTTCTTATATAAAAATTCTTTTTTTTCTGCGTTACATTTAGGTAAGAAAAATACGTAATCTTCGAGTTGCCCGGCCTGAATATACCATTGCTATAAAAACATTAACAATGTATTTGAAAAGTATAATTAATGATGTATACTTTATTACGTAAATAAAAAGATGATGCTAATTAAAAGCTAGATAATGCATTAATATATCTTATTAAATATGGCAAATTCCAGTTCAATGTCATATACTATCTGTATTGTATGTCATACAGCTCAGGACATTATTTATTAAACCGCACTCATAAATGCTTACAGCGACGATATTTACCGATTTCTATGAATATTTTGTTAATTACACGTGCAGATTTGTTTGATGAATTAAGGAAAACAGACATAAACAGAACTTAAACAAAATTATTTTCGTAAAAAAAATGCAAACATTGAAACATTTTAAATCTGTTTGAGAATGATTTATGTTTTCAATGAAACACAGGGACTGACATTAATTTAAAGTTATCTAGTATTCAGAACGGTGCTATTGATTATCTTCCCAACTTTTCAGTTACATGAACCATTGAGAAAATAAATTTATATTGATTATGACAGTAGATATTGTATGAATTATACCCCTTTATACTGTGCTGAAATTAACACTGAAGTTGAATAAATTTTAATTCTGACCTAAATTGCATAAACGTACTCTATATATCCGTACAATTTGCGAATCAGACACAAAGGTGTTGATCTAACTATTGGAATTTATAAACTCTGCCTGAATACAAACAATGAATTTCTGTTAATTAATTAAGACAGTATTAAATTCTATTGCAACACATACCGAAGGTTACATTTTGTATGTTTTCTGTTAATGTTTAAAAAATCTAATTTGATTCTTATTATTTCCTTTACAAAATTGAGGTGTTTCGCTGAAATACATGAACGGTTTTAAATTTAATATCAAATTATATATTTCAATGAAATAGGTAAATTATTTATAGCAGTACAATTGTTCATTTGCTGACATTTACTGAAATCCTAAACCATCAGTACTGAAGTGTTTTGTATGCATATGGTTGAGGATGAACCATATATTGGATGTTTAATTAATCAAAGGTCTGTTGTAATGCCAAGTAATGATTCATATCTTGTTTCCAAACAATTTGGGGAACTATCTTTTTCTAAAACATTTTTTTTTTTCATAGAAATTTCGGAGTATATAAGACGCACATGTTTAAAGATTTTATCTCCAAATAAAAACTAACCACAAATACTGATGAATGTTTGTATATATTCACTGAAGGGATCAAGTTCATTTGAAATTAAAAGTCCACTTAAATGCTTACAAAATGAGCATCAACTGGTCAATTCCTTGTAATTGTACTAATGAAATATTGAGATAATTAACTCTTGTTCAAGCTGAAGTTCATTTAAATAACACATATCGGAGCTGACCTATAGGCAATTCAACATGAAAATAATGGTCGAACGATTACCGTCAAATCACATATTTCCTAGGGGTCAAATTTTTTGTTGTTTGAGAAAAATATATTGGTTCATGGAGAATTTATTTTGTGCATGAAGAATTGATCAACTAAGAACCAGATATGTCAGACTTAAAGGTATTTTATATTTTGAATTCACTGGGATATATTAAGTTGAAATATTACAGAGGCAGCTATGGTGTATTGATTTTATTATCTGTTGTTTTCTTTTATTTGAAATTTACTGGTAATAAGGAATTCAATGACGTATTATCCGGCCTACCTTATCCTAACATTTTTATTCTATTATTCATTGTGTAATTAATTGCAATTATTTTCTTATATCCACTTCTGAGGGCGGATTTTTTAACAGCATAAACTACTCTACAACTCTTCCGTGTTCTGTGTTTATAACTTTCTGGGAAATGCTACTGGAAGGCTGTACATCTGTGGATCAGATTATGTGTTGATTTTAAGTAAGAACATGCTAGAGATATTTTAGGAGAAAGCTGGAATTCCAAGAATAACAAAAAAAAATTTGCCAGTCTGTAAATATCTCACTCCATGTTCTTGTTTTAATTGGTGCATCATGGATTCTAATATGTTGGTTCCAATCAAAACAGGTATATGTTGACTGTAATTGCTGTCAGGTACCACAAGCATTACATGTTGTGTTGTCTCACAGCTGATTTTCGGCATATTAATGTTCACTTCAACATAGCCTTTATACGGTAATTGAGTACCTCCTGCACATTCGATCTGAAGGATATCATCTAAAGTTTTCATCTCAATACTCTGTGAAAGTTCTTTATTATAAAATGATTCACTTAATGTCGAAACAGTGGATCCTGTATCTAGTAGAGCTGGTAAAGTTTTTCCATTCAAAATAATTTCTGTTTCTGTGGGATTTCCAAATATTCCTGGTGGTATAGTTTTTACACGGTTGTTGGTTATGATGGTATCACTAGATATTCTATTGCTACAGCCTAATACCGGCCCCTCTGTATAGGCTTCTTGGAGTTTAATTCACCCGTGAATGGTCTAATTTTACACGGCATCCTATTGCTATGTGTCCCGGTTGTCTACATCTATGACAGATTATTTCTCCTTTGTTCTCACTGGATGTTGCTTGTTGTTGTATTTGGTTGTTATCTTCTGGTGTTGAGTAAAAATTTCTCTGTTGGCGTGGTCCAGTGTACCAGTCTTTAGATTTTCCTCTGTTGTTCTTATATCCTCCTCTGTACGTTTGACTAAATTGAGGTTGCTGACTTGACGATATTTTGTGCGACAGCTGTTGTACCATTCCTTTTAGTTCTTCTAACTCTGATGACATATTAGCTGCAGTAGCTGACTTCACAATGTTTGGTTTAGATGATCTGTTTGGAATGTGGTCTTTTTCAATTTGTCGTAAAGCGATTCTAAGTTTGTTGTAATCCTTGATAGTGTCATATTTGTAACCAGTAATGTCTTTTAATTCTTGTCGGAGTCCTGTCCATAACATGGAATGTAACATGGTGTTCATTTCTGTGTGCTTGATGATTCCTTTTTCCAGACCTTTTCCCAATATGTCCTCGAGTCGAGCACTCCATGCTGTAATATCTTCTTCTTCCTTCTGTCTGGCACCATAAAATTCGGCTAACAATTGTTCTTTACTTTGTACACCACCATACACACTATCCAGGGTCTCTAGAAGATTTTCTATCGGCTTTTCCAGGCCTTGATATATAATCATCCGTGCTGCAGATCCAGTCAGGGATCGTCTAATTGCGAAGTCCTTTTGTTCTCTTGTGTAAGTTGGATCCTTTAGTGTTATGTTTACTTCATATCTCCAAACATCATATGAAACTTCAGCTTTGTTGTCTCCTCCCGAGAAAGATCGTATTTTCGGCGGATATGGTAATAACGTGGAAGTAACTGTTTTCTTTGGTATAGCAGCTGGTGTTGTGTTTGGTAAGGTTAGCGAATGAATTGGTTGAATGGGCTTCGTATCTTTTGAGTTGATGTAGCTTTGTATCCACTTTTCCAGTTCCTCTGGTGTGTCACCTTTTGGATTTAATCCCATAGCTTGGAATGTTAGAAACATTTTTTTCAAATTCACTTTTCTGAGGCACGGTTGTTGTGATTGTTGCAGTAACTGTATTTGGTGCGGTTGTTGTGATTGGACTTGTAGGTTGGGTAGTGATTGCTTTTTCACCATCAATGCCAGTTGCCATGATGAGAATTTTCACATACAGATTTCACTAATTTCACTGATTTTTTTTTCACAAAATTTCACAATGAATCACAAGATATAATCACATTCACTTATATGAATCACAGATCCAAGATAAATGTTCAATCGAAAGTTTGTTGGAAATTTTCACTACCGGAAGTAAACAAAGTGTCACTAAATTCAAAGTCTAAACCGTGGAGCAGCACTTTCCGGTTCCGGAAACGTTATCCCGTAATTCCGTTGGGCGCCATTGTAACCCGGAGTCTTAGGGCGATTCGTATTCAGTATGGATGGATGACTAACTCCAGTAACGTTTACACCATTTATTTGGATACATTGATGAAATGACAGATGATAGAATGATTCAGATTGACCCTGTAACATAATAAAAGCTTAATAAACAACATTGTAAGAAAGATAACTCTTACGCTCATGTTTTAGAATAAACTGAAAATGCTAGTTATTTCCCTTTATACACAAGACTCAAAAATATATGTGTCTATCAAAATATCTATCATTGCTCATTATTATAATAAACAAAGGACTACAAATATACTGATAATACATTCAATCAAGTTTCACTGTATACCATCATGTAAAACCTTATTTCACATGAATTCATAAAGAAAATATTTACATGTATATTTCACCAGAATTGTGAGCCTAGATGTATCATGACATATATATTTCAAACATAATACTCTAGAAATAATGCTTACCTCACATGAGGTGTAAAGGTCGTCTTACAATAAGTAATCTACTGTCTACATCCTTTGATCATGAGAATTCTAAAGGTAGAAATAAATACACTAACTTCATCTATTCAGTTCACTGTGCTATATCTATAGTTATATTTAAATCCTGTATTTCTTTACAAAATAAATGTTACACTTATCCTCATGTTTTCAATGCAATCAGCCATTTTAAGAGCATAGGTATCTAAATATTTCTAATATCACAAAACAAATATTTCATGCATCTAATATAAAGACTATATAGGTAAATACAAATTAACTGACCTGATAATGAGAAAAGATTCCAATTACTGTAACAGGTATAAAATTCTGGACAAAAAAATGGATGACACAACAAAGACTACAGCACAGGAACTATACATTTAACACACAATAGAAAACTTCCCTCCAAATGTATCACATGACCAAATTCTTTACAATTGACCACACTGACCAATAAAAAACAAGGAAAAGGGTATTCCCTCTAAATATAGATACAGTGTGCAAAAGTTAAAAATATTCACATGAGTGATACACTTATCTTAGAAAATAACTTACAGTAGCTAAAATATATTAATATTCAACAAATTCATGATTCAAATAATTTTTCTAAATAATGAAAATAATAAATTGAATAATCATAATAAATTGATAAAAATAACTACAAATTTCACTCTGCCACATAAGTGCAACAGCACACCTTAGCCATTTTTTTTATTTTATTACAAAATGAACATTATTTAAAAACCCTTACTGGTCTAAAAGGGTGATTTTTACGATATTAATCAGAAGAAAAAATGCTGAAACGGCTTTAACGACGTCAACATTTTCTGATTTTGTAGGGTAACCATGACGCAGAAGAATGGCGTTTGTTTATTCAAGACGTTCATGAATATTATACTAAAACCTAATGACAGACCATCCAAAGAAACATACCAGAGATCCAAAAGTTGCTATTTTTCCGTAAAAAAATTGCACCATTGATTCATCTGCATTGATATGTATTTACGCCGTAATGTGGCAATTTTAGAGGAATAAGGCTCTATTGAGAAAATAAAATTTGTAATTAATTCCTATACCAAGCTAGATGGTCTCTTTTTACTAAATTTTACAATTTGGTGACTTTTAACTACACCTTCTATCTATTTGAATGAAAAAGAAATCTCTAGGGCAGAAATACAAAGAATATGGAAAAATGAATTATTTGGCGATATTTTCCTATAGGGTTCAATAGTAAAAATAAACATTTGAGATGATCCTTAAAGAAATCGGGACGGTAAGCATTTGATTTTATTAGTCTTAAAACAATAACTATAACTGTCAAAAAAATTCAAAGTCCATAAGTCCATAAGGCAGAAATACAGTAATTAGACTCGGTCTCGTTAAATATATGAAATGTTTGGCATTTGTAAAATGTAACGTGAAAAAATTAAAACAAGGCAACTTTCATTTTACTTTACATACCCTTGCATTAGGAATGTGTTTATATTTAGAACTTTGTACACCATGCTTAATGAAATCTGCACAAACTGGAAAGAGAGAAAATGAATTTAGAATATAGTCCTTTTTTTGCAAGCAAAGTATTTTTACCTGATATAAAATGTATTCAAAAATTCAAGGCTTATTATAATATCAAGAATACGTATTGTTAAAAACAATTGTATCTTTTTTTGTTTAAGAAAGTTCAAAGTGTCTATCCATGAATGCACTTTTACAGATAAAGTGTGAATTAGCTTATCTATAATTATCACTTTATAAGAGACAGATTTTATATTTGGACATCTAACAAAATTGAAGGGCTTTATATATATATATATATATATATATATATATATATATATATATATATATATATATATATATATATATATATATATATATATATATATATATATATATATATATATGAAGAATGAAGAAAGCACTTACGTTTTACTAACATAGTTGCCTTGTCAATTTTTTAGGGCTTTCCACCTTTCTGTGGAAAGACCTCTTGAAATGCTTATGTTTATTATTATTATTATTATTTTTCTTCCCGGACTTTTGAAACCGCAAGTCTTATCGAAAAACCTTATAGTTCATGATATTAAGTATTTAAAGTTATTCCGAAAAACGACCCCCCGTGTTTAATCTTTGACCCCTTTCAAAGTTATTGCCCCTTTCGCAAGAAATGCTTGTTATCGCTACTCCTTTGAAACCGTAAACCGTAGAGGTATGAAACTTTCACCAATGTCTTCCACTAATTGAGAGGAGTCTGGAATCTATTCATTGCAAAAGTATTCGGTGACTACTTCAATGAGTTATTGCCCCTGAAAGTTTTAAAGTTTACAAAAAAATTAAAAACTTTTCAATGACAAGTGGTAAAGTTATAGGACCAAGTGCATGAGATCTAATGACCTTTGACCTCGAAAAGTAGGTCAAGGTCAAAGGTCAAGGTCATTGGAAAACTAGAATAATTGTCAATTTAAGCTTAAAATCCAAATGACCTTGACCTTGGACCTTGTTTTTTTTGACATTGACCTTGACCTCTGACCTTGACACTTACTCAAAAGGTAATAAAGAAATATTCATTACCTTTATCTAGATTCAGCTTCAAGTGTTAATCTCAAGTTTACTCTCTCTCTCTCTCTCTCTCTCTCTCTCTCTTGATGACCTTGACCTTTGACCTTGATAAATGACCTTGACCTTTGACCCATTGACCCAAAGGTTACAATCAAGCTAAAGGTCGTGGAGTTATTTACAACCATCACTCTAACTAATGCTTATAAAATACGCCCCCCCCCTCAAAAAAAAAAATCAACACCAACTTAGAGAAAATGTCTACAAGTCAAACGAAACAAAATATCGACATAAGATTCGTAATAAAAGGAAGAAGAGACCTGAAAGAAAGTGTCCTGAGAGTTTTAAGGTGAGTCTCTAAAGTATTTTGAAATTCTAGTGAATATCGGCAAAATCTGCATTTTTTTTCTGTCTGAAATTTAGTTATTGCTGAGCATAAAAATTAATTAAGGCTCGTATTGGCTATTTCTGCAATTATTGTTAATAACATTCGATTCTCCTGCTCTATTACGACATTTTAATACCAAGTATTCTTGCTTTCTTAGGTGTATGGAATTTATTTTAATTTTATTTAGATTTAAATATGAATCGGCTGAAATTCGCAAATAGCGATTTTTCATATCAAATAAATTCCCTCGCAATTTAGATAGGTTAAATCAATTGCAGTTACTCCTCTTTATACGCTATGGTGTTGAAAAATTCCCAATGACCCACTCACTGTTTTTCCGGGATTTTGAATTTCCTCTGCAACTGACCACGTGTATTACTTTCGCTTTTACGACTCTGTATATGCTAAGTCTCAATGCTTCACTGCAAATGTGTCCCATAATTATTCTAATCATTTTCCTACACACAATATCACATCAAACCGGCAAGATCTCAGTTTTTTAAGAAATTTGACCGGTACTTTCCTACGAAACTACAGATATCCTCTTCCACCTTCAAAAAATAAATTAGTTTACAAAATACGCTTACTTGTGTACGATTTGATGGCTCAATGGTTAGCGTGTCCGACTCACAAACTAAGGGTTGTAGGTTCAAGCCCAGCTAGTGG